GGGCACAGAGAGCCCAGCCCTGGGCACAGAGAGCCCAGCTCAGGGCACAGAGAGCCCAGCTCAGGGCACAGAGAGCCCAGCCCTGCAAGATTTGGGGTTATTTAAAGCCCAATCCACGTTGGCTCCTGCTGGAAGTTCACGTGGCTGCTCGCTTTGGCCTCCTGCACTTTCAGAGCCAAAGCGGTCTCTGGGCACTCTGATTTTGCTGTCAGGGCCTGAAGACAAGTTTGCCTTCACTTGACCCGTGCCTGACTGCAGTCCAGCTTTGGAGATGAGCTGCAGGCAGATTTCCAGCAGCTGTCGTGTTCCAGGGATGATAAGCAGGTTTTTTTTGGCATTGTTTCCTCCTCCTGCCCAGCTCTCAGATGAAGATACGCTGAAGACTGCTGCGTGCAAGAAGGTGGTGACTTTTGATCTGAGCTCCTCTGAGGAGACCAGCAGCATGTCCAGTGCAATTCTGGGCCAGAATAAATGTGAGTGCCCCACATGTGAGGCTCTGGGCGTGTTCTGCCTTTCCCTCTCCCCTCCCTGGTGTTGCTGTTCTCCTTTGTGCTCAGTTTTGTCCAAGGCAGGTCCAGTCTCTGTGGCTGGGGCTGCTCTGGGTGCCACACCTGATGGCAGGAGCTTTTTTTCCTGCCTGTAGTGACAGATAAGAGGGATGGAATCTCAGTGAATCTGCCTTTTAAACCTGTCTGGATTACAAAATCTGATTTTTCTCTGATCCTGCAGAGCTGTGTTGCTCTTCTGCAGGAGTCTGGGCTTCCCCTTCCTCACACCCATACAGGGGAGGCTGCTGCAATTCCCTCTCTGCTGCTCGTGCTTTTTCCTGGCCTTTGGTTGTTTGTGACTGGAGTTGTGCTGGGGCAAGAAGGGCAGGAGGACAGGATTGTTTGGATTGTTTGCACAAAGGCTGCTCTTGTCAGGGTTTGTTCATGATCCCTTTTCCCCCTTTGTTCCTTCAGTTGATTTGAGGACGGAGTTATGGCCCATCCTCCAGCAGGACAAGATCCAGCAGCTGAGRGACTCGGTGCAGAGCATCTCCAGTGAGCTGAACGGGGTGCTGGGGGTGCTGGACTCCCTGAGCCACCACCAGTCCCCTCTGTTCACCTCCACACGCCGTGAGGGTGCCCCTCTTTCCTTGGGGAGCCTTTTGGGGAGCAGCTCTGTGGGGAACACCCCCAGGGCACCTCCCCTGGAGCCGTGGGCCCGGAGCAGCGGGCTCAGCTCTGCTTACTCCATCTCAGCACAGTCAGTGGACAGCATCCTGGCAGACAAATGGCACAGGTATTTCCCAGGTGAGTCTACTGAACTAATTCTATCTGCTTTGCTGCGAAAAGTTTTGATTTTGCAGCCCTGCGAGTTGTGTCTGACTCTTGCAGTGCTGTCAAGAAGGGGGCTGATGGGATGAGGGGTGAGCAGCTCATCCCAAAAGTGCAGCACCCTGTCCTGCTGCTCTTTAACACACACCCAAGGCASGGCCAAAGAGGAGCCAGCCCTCTCCTGTGGCACAGTGATCTCCATCTGTGTCCCTGGTGTCCTGCTGGGGACAGCGTGGCCGTGCTACAGGAGAGTGAACACACCCAGATTTGGGTTCAGGGGATTTGGTGTTTGTTTTGCAGGTGGGTTCTCGTCCCTCGGTGGCAGCTCTGTGCCTCTGGACAGCAGGCTGAGATACGTCCCTGCAGAGTAAGGCTCCTCCTCCTCCTCCTCGGGATGGCTCWGGGTGATGCTGCTGTTCCTCTGCAGTGATTGTTGGGTCACTTCCATGTAACAAATAGATAACAATTTGATAAAAACTGTTTAAGGACTATTTGATAAAAACGACTTATTAAGGACAGAAGTTACACTCTCAGTAAATATATTAGAGGAGGTAYTTTATTCTTCAGCAGCCCATTGCTTTCTCCTCCCTGGGATTATTTCTGCCCAAACCATTTTTTTTTTTTTCCCCCACTTACCCCATCTCTCTCTCCCTGCCCCAGAGAGCAAATCCGGCTGTTCCAGCATTCCAAGTTCCGTGAGCCAGAGAAGAGGAGCATCGAAGGGATGATTGAGAGCAACAAGAAATGGCTGAAAGACTTCGATAAGGATTTCAAAGTGTATCTTTTGCCTGGGTCTGGCCTTTAATTGCAGAAGGAGGAGGAGATGGCAGAGCAKGTGTGAAATGAAGTATTGAACAGCAATTTTGGGGCCTTGGCCTCTATTTCAGTGGCTGGTTCGGCAGAGGAATGTGGTGTTGGAGTGTGAGGGAGCTGTGTGCTGCTCTCTGAGCTGCCCTGGCTGAGGAAGGAGCTTCTTCCTCTTCCTCTTCCTCTTCCTCTTCCTCTTCCTCTTCCTCTTCCTCTTCCTCTTCCTCTTCCTCTTCCTCTTCCTCTTCCTCTTCCTCTTCCTCTT